AATGAACAATAATTTAGTACTAGTACCTAGAAGGGGATAAAATATTCCATTAGCAAAAAGTCAATCACCTTCTTTATCCTTATATCTAAGTTTATATAAGCATTATCACTTTCTTGACATGTATAAAATTAAGTACAAAAAGCCAATCACCTTTTTATATATCCTTATATCTAAGTTTATAAGCATTATCACTTTCTTGACATGTATAAATTAAGTAATTCACCAAAATTTTTTCCCAAAACAGTAATTAAAAACTCCAAAAACCCTTCTGCTGTCAAGGATCACTTCGGCAAAGTAGCAAACATCTCTCGATTCAACGACAGTGACTGAGACTCTGCTTGGATTGCTTAATAGACCTTTAATCTCCTTTCGGTCACTGACTCATATTCATTAAGTTTTCAAGGAGTTAGCGCGCCAAATTTTGTTGTTATTAGCTGACATATCTATGTTAAAGATAGCGGTGCCCCCGCTGTGCTCAAATCCTGGGTCCGCCTCTGATGAGATCTGTAGTATATTTACAGTGGTTATTCTTAATCCTTACCTTATAGTTCATGCACTTAATTAGTTATTTCTTGATGCAACAGATCAAATCGTAAATCGAATCCTGTCTGGATCTGCTTTAAGTATCAATTAAAGTGAATATCTAGTTGATTAGCCTCTAAAAGTCCCTCAAACTTGACTTTGCAAGGAAAAATTTATTATATCATCGCTTATCAGTAATTTGTAATATCTGAAGAATCCTGATAGAGCTCCACTATTATACTGAATTACAGCAGACTCCCCTGTATGGCAAATCATAAATTTATCACGAACTAAATCGCATTAAATTACAACGCAAAGTATGATCCTGGCGCTGTGGAAACATTCAATAGGATCTTAATGTTGTTTATTAAGGTAGGATAGAACCCACACATATTGTAAACCTAGCCAACTACTATAGGCTGCACCAAATCAATTTTCTTTGAGAAACATATGAACGTCTGATGGAAATGCGATAGAAGACAAATGCAACAATAAATAATTTTTTTCTGGAAAATTTCTGATGTCAAGAACCTGCTAAAACATGGATATAAAACCTTGTTAATAGAGATGAAGTAAGACTGTCCGGCCGTACAGAAGGCACCCGAGGTTAGAATTACCACTAGACACCAAAACTCACAAGCACTAATCGGAGAGAGAGAGTATTAATTTTCTCCAAAAACTTCACCAACTATGGTATATACTGAGGAAACATTCCAAAAACTTCACTAACTATGGCATATACGGAGGAAACATAAAATAAATAGGCACCTCTTATGTCCCAACCAGAGGCGGATCCAGAATTTAAATCGTATGAGTTCAACTTTTAAATTTTTTAGCATTGAACCCATTATATATTTAAAGTTATGGGTTCATATCTACTATTTTTACAATTTTAATGAATTTTTACATATAAATTTTTACTTCACGTCGAAAATTATGAGTTCAATTAAACCCGTCAACAATACACTACATCCGCCCCTGGTCCCAATAGTCAACCACATGCACTCATCATTTAACTTCTCCAAGAGAATTCCTTGATGCACCGTGAGAAACGCGTAAGGACAATAAGAGGTGGAGGGGATCCTCTATCCAAGGTAGCAACACTTGTACAATAATAGGCTAAGCATATGTTTCATGCAACAATAAGTGATATTAAGCTTAAAGTATATATATTTATATGTATATCGCCTCATGTTTTACTCGTGTTTCATGGATTTCGGATGTAAAATGTATTGATTTATGTTAATTCTTGATGTTTTTATATGTAGGAATCATCCGGAAGCAATATGGGGCGAAAAGTGTGAGATTAGAGCCAAACATGAGAAAAAGTTGAAAATGGCGATTTTCAGGGCCACAGGCAGCGTGGGGCGCTACCTGTGGCCCAATTTCTAGAATGTTTATTTTCCCAGCACTAGGACTAGCGCCCCGCGCTACCCTGGGCGCTGGTGACGGGAAATATCTCCTATTTCGCCCTGGACAAGGTTATTTCAGTCCAAGACCCCTCCCAACTCGTATAAAAGCAAGTCTAAACCTAATATGGATGAGATCTAATATATTTTTGGGGGAGAACATGTCACTTTGGAGGAGAAGAATATAAACCACACTTGAAGCAACGATTCTCAATTTTTCTTCTATTCTTCTTTTAGTTTCATAGTTTATTAGCTCTAGAGTTTCGGGTGCTGTGAACGTTGTAGTTTGAAGATGTAACGACCCACCTATCGTTTTGAGCATTTGCACTTCGCTCTGTAGTTTGGGGGCGTGAGTAGCTCCGTATAATGTATTATGACTGGTGTGTATCGTCAGTTTTGATTTTCAGGTGATCCAGAGTTTGATTTGGAAGAATGAATTTCATCGTTGAAGTTTTAAGTTGGAAGAGTTGACCAAGTTTGAGTTTTGTGAATTTGACTCCGGAACAAAATTTTGAGAGCTCAGTTAGGTCCGGATGGTGATTCTGGACTTGGGCGTATGTCCGGATTTACATTTGGATATTTCTAGAAGGATTCTGCGTTAATTGACGAAAGTTTAAAATTTGTAAGTTTGAAAAGTTCATAAGTTTGATTGGGAGTTGATTTTGATGAAATCGGGTTTGGATTGTGGTTCCGTGAATTAAAATAGCTTCGTTATGTCATTTGGGACTTGTGCACAAAATTTGAATTCATTCCGAGTTGATTTGATATGTTTCGGCGCGAGTTTTGGAGATTGAAAGTTCAAAGTTCATTTAAGTTTGATTTGAGGTACGATTCGTCGTTTCGATGTTGTTATGTGTGATTTGAGGCCTCGAGTAGGTCTGTGTTGTGTTATGTGTTGGTATATTTGGACGGGGTCCCGAGTAGCCCGGGTGAGTTTCGGACAAGGTTCAGACCATTTTCGTTTCATGTTGCATTGTTGAAGGTATGCTGGTTCTAGTGCTTCAGCATCTACGGAAAAATGGCCGCAGATGCGAGTCCGCAGATGCGGACAATTGGTCGCAGAAGCGCAAACAGGCTTGGCTGGAGATCATCGTAGATGCGGAGGAAGAGGCGTACCTACGTGTGTGCAGAAGCGACGATTTGGACCGCATGTGCGATGTGAGCTGGGTCTAGCTATTTTTGCAAAAGCGAAGTCTGCATATCTACAGTGGGCGTAATTGCTAGCAATCATTTGCATTGGGCTGGATCTGCCCTGGTTCATTTGCATTGGTCTAGATATGCCCTGGTTTATTTGTATTTTGGTTCATTTGCATTTGGCTGGATCTGCCCTGGTTTATTTGCATCTTTGGGTTGGATCTGCCTTGGTTTATTTGCATGTGCATGTGCATTAGATTAACCCTGTACAGTACTGAGTAACTTAGTGTGATGAGTATTGAGCATGATGAGTGAGAATACGAGACAATGAGATGGAGTACTCTGAGAGGATGAGTACATGCGTTCATCATTGAGATGCATTGCATTTGACCCGCGTACTTGAGATACATGCATAAAGATGCATTCCCTTTGGCTACCCGGCTTTGGTGACGTTCATGATTTCACCTGTATATTGACATGTAGGCATAGAGATGTATTTTTCTCATGCTATCTGAAAATGAAATATCTTATTTATTGTTGAAAGGTTTTTGGAAAAAATTACGGTTTTCAAACTTATTCATATGCTTTTGGTGCTTTCGGTGGAAGATTTGGGATTTACTGTTATACTTGAAAAGCATGCCAATCTTTCTGTAACTGTGTACGAGCTGAACATCTTTCCTCTGAGTTATTTTCATGTACCATTTTATTATTATTGCTATGACTGTTGCTGGTTATTAGAGTTGGACTCTAACCCCTGTCCTAACTCGTCACTACTTTCAATCTAAGGTTAGGTTTGTTACTTATTGAGTACATGAGGTTGTCACACCTCCTTTTTTCCGAAGGGGATAGGGGAGCTTTTCCAATTAAAGTGACATTATTCGAGATGAGATTATTTATTTAATTCAGAGTCGCCACTTGGAATATTTATGGTGTCCCAAGTCACCAATTTATTTTAAAATCCCAAATCGAGGAAATTTAACTCCGTTTAAAGTCCGCGAAAACTAAAAGATCGGGTAAGGAATTCTGTTAACCCGGAAGAAGGTGTTAGGCATTCCCAAGTTCCGTGGTTTTAGAACGGTCGCTCAATTTTAATAATTGGCCTAATTATCTGATTCGATACACATTTGAAACCTATTGTGCATTTTTACCTTTTAACTGCTTTTAATTAATTATGGAGTTTGTTTGAACAAGTCGCGATGTCTCGCACTTGTATGTTTTTGTACACATTGCAAAACCACTCCACGTGAAACGCACCCGCGATTTACAACATGTTTATTTTTATTATTATTAGAAGTTATGGTCGGGTCATATGAAATGCTCACCCGACTGGGATTTACGTATTGTGACCATGCCATGAGAACCGTACCCATGGCCAGGATGATTTATTAATCGCGCTTGAAGCAAACTACAATATTCATTAATTATTATGATTTGAAGATATAGTCGAGTCGCATGAAATACACACCCGAATTGGAGAATTATGTATCACGAATATGCCACGGGAACCGTACCCATAGTCGTGGTGATTTATTTACGCGCCTAAAGCAAACTACCGAGTTCACCATTGTTTATCTTTTCTAAGATTTGAGGAAAGTCACGAGTGAACATGTCTGGATTCGAATTAGACTTTTATAATTGCTCTAAGTTTTAAATTCACGTTTAAGAATCCATTACTAATGCTATAGGCTAACATTGCTCAAAGTTTATTCAATGAGATAAGACAAATCATTTTCTATCATAATATTTCGATTTTGAAATCAAAATAAATCTTCATCGGGCCAAACTCCAAGGCCTAATGACCTAAAGTATTCAAACTTGCTTGCTTAGGCCCCTACTGGGCCTTTTTGCAGGTTTGGCCCAACTTATTCAGGTACTTAAAATAACAACTTTGGAAAGAAAGAAATATCATGCATTAAAAATAAAAATAAAAAAAACTGGCTCACAAATGAACTTGCAAAGCTAAATCAAAATTAAAGTTTATACACATAGCCTATTATTACTTGCTGCAGCATGAATACTTTAACCCAAAATTTCAGCTCATACTCCAATAATTCTAGAATATATTACATACAAATGAGAATAGGCGATTAACAAAGAACGTAGAGAATTTTCAGTGTTTATTACAATCCTACTCAATTAACTAATGATGAAACACATTTCCCTTTGACATTAGGGGAACGATTACATGCATTCATGCTTCCGACTGGGTGAGACGATTTACAAAGACTTCGAACACTTCCGCTGCTCTAGCTCTTGGCTTTGCGATTCACAAATTTGACCAATTAGTAGCCAAATTCATGAACCGCAGCCATATTTATTCCACTGATGGTTCTTCCCTTCCACAACTTACTACCAAACATTATACAACACAAGCATTAAGAATAGACTTAGATTGAAATTCGAGCGTGAAAGACAGAAAACTTATATATAAACAAAACAACACATGCCTAAAAGGAACTTATAAACAACAGTAACATGGCAGAGTTAGCTGACTTCAATTCAACATTCTTTGAACATTTCACAAGAAATCTAAAACACAACATCATATAAACACTATAAACGTCTGAAAATCATAGAAGAAGGCATGGAAGCTTGATTATGTCAAATTTAGAATATGTGAGTTCATAGATGTGTGCCTTTATCAACAGAATAGACAATAAAAGAAAATAGATCTCTGAAAAATTGAAAGGGCAACAACAAGAAACCAATGCAGCAGCAGAAAACAGCTTGACAACAATCTGAAAATTGGAGATGGATCTTAGCAACTCAAGAACAACAGAATCAGCATCCACTCAACATATCAGCAGGATTCGAGTAAAATCAGTAGAAAGATGGAAGGAAAAAGCAACTTTGAATTTCCTTTTTTTTTTGGGTTTTGTTTTCTATATCTAAATTGAAACTTAAGAAAAGGAAAAATCAGTGTTGCAATGAAGAAAGGGATCTGAATTTTAGAAAGCTTTCGTGTAAATATCAGTCTCTAATCTTCAGAATACAGAATGAGCCATATTATATAGGCTGTGTGTATGCTATAAGAGAGAATGAAAGAGAGTCTAAAAAAGAATCTGTCAGCGTGAAAAAAGGAAACCACAATATCTTTTTTTAACCAATTTTGTACAGTTGTCCCTTTTCCAAATATTTTCGGCATTTTTCTTAACCAATATTGGGACAACTGTCCCTTTTTCTCATTTTTGCAGCTCCTTAACTTCTGATTTTACCCCTTTCCACCCCAATTTTTTTTACCTAATTTACTTATTTTATTGCTTTTTTAATCCCTACAACTAAGTTCTAGAAATATCTCAACCAACTAACATAATGATTCCCTAAAATTCCTATTTCTTTTAGCCCCTATAATACTTTTATCCCAAATCTACTGCCCTCTTTCATTTAACAGAGTCAAATATCTAATTAAGCTAAACTAACAACAAAGCTATCGAACACAAATTAAACATGAAGCAATGACTAATTAAAATCTGTCAATTAAACAAATATGCGATTTAAAATAATAACAAACTATCTAACTTCAAATTCAGCCAACAAACTAACTTCAAACAATTTTATTAATGATCAAAATCTAACCTAAACATGCTAACATTCGAACAAGTGATTACTAACTAAATGCAAAACCAAGAATTAACTAAACTAAACGAATCACTGAACCATTTCAGATAAGAAAAATGAGAAAATAACTTACCCCTTAAGAATGCAGATGACTGCCCATGAAATACTTTTCGACCAACAGTGGTCATCAACGGATGACCACTGGCTTTGTGCTTTAAAGCTCGACCAGTGGTGCATACGCCGATGACTACTAAGGTTAGAGAAAGGGGAAATTCGGAGGGACAAATGGGAATCTAAGCAGATTTCGATGCCCGTGAAACAACTCAAAACTAACACCTACCAGTAGTTCGAAACAAGACTAGTCGATTGGTGAGCATTTTATCTCTATACGACTCCAGAATCGGCAGAAGTCAACAAAAGAAAAGGATTAGGGTGCAGCCTATTTTTAGATCTATTATTAGGCGAGTTCTAGGGTTTTTAAGGAAATATGAAGGTGGATCAAGATAGATGAGGTATTGAGGATTGTGGGGTAAATATTTGGGCATGGTTGGGGTGGTGGCCGCCGATGGAGAGTTGTGGGGGTGTGGTGGCGGCTAGGGTTTGGAAATTTGAGGGAGATGAAGAGAATGAGGGAAGTTCTTGGGGTTGGGGTCTTAGGACAGTTTTATGGGAATGGGGAGATCAGTTGGGAGTCGTTAGATCAAAAGGAATCGAGGGCTGAGATTAACTTAGTTCAAATGACGTCGTTTTGGGTTTTAGGAGTGGTGGACTGGGTCTTTGAAGGTTGGGCTGGGGTGGGATTGAGGAAGATTGGGCCGTTTGAAATCTGGCCTAATCCGATTTGAAGCTCAAAAAATAACCTTTTCCTTTTCTTTGTTTTTTTTCTTTCTTCTTTTCTTTTCTTTGATTTTAAATCCTAACTTAATTAATTAAAAACCTAAATTAGGTCCTAAATCAAATATAATTTGTGAAATAAACCTAATTAATTATTTTTAATATTTGAACGATTAATCAACTTAAAACTAATGAAATAAAATTACTAATTTAAGGCTAAAAGCTAAAAAATGTAACATGATCAATATTTTTTGTGATTTTTTTAAATAAATGCGATTAACTCGTGTAATTAAATTCTAAATGCAATTAAAACCTAAAATGCTTATGCAATGCAACATTGAACATTTTTTGTGTTTTTCTATGATTGTAAGATATTAAATATGCAACTAAATGCAAAACCAAATAAAGAAAGACTCCTAAAATTCATAAAAATCATAAAATTTATTTTTTGGACTATTTTTAGGAGTAATTTCCATGTGGGGCCAAAACTAGGTACTCACAGCTGTCCCTCTTTGCTCGGAAATATGAAGAGTTTTCGGGCAAAGATAAAGTGAGCAATCATGAACAATTTTTGCCCGTTTGATACTCCATGGGAAGAAATTTGAAAAAGTTTGACCGAACCTTGCTTCGGAGGTTGCCTACATATCCTTGGCTATAAAGGAATCAGGTTAGTGTAGTTCTGGAAATTTTGGTAGCTGGGACTACCGGGAAACTGTGATTTCACTGTTGCTGCTGTTGCTGTTTGCTGAGCTCCTTATTACACCAAAGTCAAAAATGAAAAAGACTAACTAAGCCTATCAGCTGCGAGTTACAAGATTCCTATCTATAAGTCTTCTGAAGCTTGATCTTGAGTCTTGGCTGGTTCTTCACGCAGACTCTGATCTGAATTTTGATGCTTGTTAGCTGCAGGTGCTAGTTCATTCTTCTTCAGCTTTTCGGATCAAGGCGGGACATGAAAAACTTGCGACTTCAATCATGTCTTGAGCAGTCCATATCTTTTCTCCGCTTTTGCACTTTGAGTTCACTTCTTTTCTATTTCTTTCTCTATTTTGAATTGAGACTTCTTTTTGGTTATCTCGAACCCTGTGCCTCGAGGTAAAGACCTGCTCAGACACCAAAACAGACAAACGAACAAACTTTTTCTGCCCCAGTTTTCACTAAAACATTTCGTGAGTTATTTGTAACAACACTCTATATTACTTCATTATTGAAAGCAATAAAAGGCCGGGATTGGTGTACCCTGAGAAAATAGAGACTAGGGAGTGGAGACCCTATATCTAAAATAAACATCAACTAGGGAGTGGAGACCATGTATTGGAAAAATGACTAGGGAGTGGATATCCTATGTCTAAAAATATCAACTAGGGAGTGGAGACCCTATGTTGGAAAAACAGACTAGGGAGTGAAGACCCTATGTCTAAAAACATTAACTAGGGAGTGGAGACCCTATGTTGGAAAAGCAGACTAGGGAGTGGAGACCCTATGTCTAAAATAAAATCAACTAGGGAGTGGAGACCCTATGTTGGAAAAGCGACCTGGGATGTGGAGACCCTATGTCTAAAAATATCAACTAGGGAGTGGAGACCCTATGTTGGAAAAGCAGACTAGGGAGTGGAGACCCTATGTTGGAAAAACGACTAGGGAGTGGAGACCCTATGTTGGAAAAGTGACTAGGGAGTGGAGACCCTATGTCTAAAAATATCAACTAGAGAGTGGAGATCATATGTTGGAAAAACGACTAGGGAGTGGAAACCCTATGTCTAAAATAAATATCAACTAGGGAGTGGAGACCCTATGTTGGAAAAATAACTAGGGAGTGGAGACCCTATGTCTAAAAACATCAACTAGGGAGTGAAGACCCTATGTTGGAAAAGCGACTAGGGAGTGGAGACCCTATGTCTAAAAACATCAACTAGGGAGTGGAGACCCTATGTTGGCAAACATAGCTAGGGATTGGAGACCCTGTACTACCATGATTTGGAACTTTCTTTCTTTTTCCTTCTTTTCATTTTCATCATTTTATTAAGAGAATGAGTAAAATGCGGGAAAGAGTTTGGAGAAGACTTCCCTTTTTGGAGTCGTTGCGGCAGAGCTATTTTAGTCTCCGTGCATTTTTTTTTGTTGCACCTGCTTCTTGCAAGGTTGCCTTGGATTACACCTGTTTCCTGCGGCTCAAACAAAGAACAATTTTTCAGTTTAAAATGGTGGTTGGTTTTACGGCCTTGAGTGTTTCAATCAATTGATCTCGGCCCGGCTCATTTGATGATACTTTCAACTGCAACTGATTGTTTCCTGAAGACCGATTTTTTTTCTGGCCCCGGAGAACCTTTGGCTTTTCCAAACCTTTCCATGATGGTTGGTCGCGTGGGACCTAACCTTTTTCAACTTTGTTTTGCCTTCGTGGGCATCTTAGTTCTTTTTTCTAAATTTAACTTCAGAGCATTGTGTAACCTTTAGCTTTCAAACTTTACCAAGACGGTTAGCCACGTGGGACTCAACCGTTTTCAACTTCATTTGCCTTTATAGGCACTTCAATTTGATTTTCTTCTTTTAAGAGCTTTTGATTTCGACACACCGGCTACTATTGCCAGTCGGGGTCAACTTGATGCCCCTGCCAAGGTTGGGTGCCTTTTTTGCATATTAGCTCGTATCAAACAAGAACCCTGTAAATCAATCTTGTCATCCCTTCTTTGCCTTAGTTTGGAACAGAGTTAGACTGAAATGGATTCAAAGAAAAACAAACATTGGAATGGATAATGAATTTAGACAGGAGGTGTCCCTTTCGGGGAAGAGAAAGAAAGACTTATCTGAAGTGCATGCAGACTTCAATGAACATGAAATGCCTCTTGGACTGTATGCCTGATCTGTGTAAACCGTCCGACTATCAGAAATTCATCACAACATTTGCCTCGAAACCGAGAAACCTTCCCTAGGACCATGTCAGTGTCAGTGACCGAAGAACCTCTTTTCGATAAGTGGCGCCCTTTGCGGGTTTTCACCAGCTGACCTCTCTCATTTCTCTTCTCATCGTCGCCTTATAGTGCTCTTTGCGAGTTTTCACTAACAATACTCTCTCATTTTTAATTTCTCTGCTTACCGTCGCCTTACGGTGCCCGTGAGGGTTTTCACCAATAAGACTCTCTCATTTTATTTCTCTCATTTTGATCGCATCGGATCCAAGTAGCTGTATTCTCCGATCCTTGAATATTCTCACCGATTGATCAGAAGACTTGAAAGGATTTGGGTAAAAAGAATTTGGATTGAATTACAACTTTGGAATCTTTCAGGCGAAACCATCGCCGAAACATTATAACATCTGCCCCAGTTTCAATTTTGGGGAAGTGTGAATTTTTATTTTGGTGTGACTGTACCCATGAGAGAGGCTGCTTACGTATCCTTTCGGAATCAAGTCGAACGTAGTTCAAGAAACTTTTGTTTTTTATTTTCTTTTGTTTTTCTTTTTCTTTTCATTTTTTCATCATTTTTTTCAGTAACAAATTCCATGTTCCAAAGAGGGTAACCAAAGAAAGAGGGAACCAACTCGAAAGGGGTTGCAAGGATTGGTAGTGTTTGGGTAGCGAGAATGAAAGCCTTCGTCATCCCAATCAGAACATGTTAACGCTATGACAAAGGGATCAAACGTAATACCTCTTGACCGCATCTGCATTGACAACTGTCTCAAGGTCATTTCCTTCAATGTCTCCCAAATATAGCGCACCATTTGGAAACACTCTTCTTATAATGTACAGACCATTCCAGTTTGGAGCAAATTTTCCTTTTGCTTCTTCATGATGCGGGAGAATACGTCTCAGAACGATTTGACCCACTTCGAATTTTCTGGGCCGCAATTTCTTGTTGTAGGCACGGGCCATTCTTTGTTGGTATAACTGCCCGTGACAAGCTGCGGCCATCCGCTTTTTCATCAATCATAGTTAACTGTTCCAACCAGGCTTTGACCCATTCCTAGTCCTCGATCTCGGCTTCAACAATGATCCGAAGAGAGGGAATCGCAACTTCTGCAGGTATTACAGCTTCAGTGCCATAGACCAATAAGTAAGGAGTAGCCCCAACTGATGTTTGCACGGTTGTGCGATATCCCAATAATGCAAAAGGAAGCTTTTCATGCCATTGTGTGGAGCTCTGAATCATCTTCCTGAGAATCTTCTTGATGTTCTTGTTTGTAGCTTCAACGGCGCCATTAGCTTTGGGCCGATAAGGGGTAGAATTGCGATGCATAATTTTAAACTGTTCGCATACCTCCCTCATCAAGTGCCTGTTCAGATTTGTAGCATTATCTGTAATGATAGTTTTAGGAATACCAAAACGACAAATAATGTTGGAATGCACGAAGTCCACCACTGCTTTCTTAGTGATGGCTTTGAAAGTGACCGCTTTGACCCACTTTGTGAAATAATCAATGGCAACCAGGATGAATCTGTGCACATTTGAAGCTTTCAGCTCGATTGGCCCAATAACATCCATGCCCTAAGCAACGAATGGCCAAGGCACCGAAATTGGATGTAACTCTGAAGGCGGTGCATGAATCACGTCACCGTGTATCTGGCATTGATGGCACTTTCGGACGAAACTGAAACAATCCTTTTCCATGGTCATCCAGTAATAACCTGCCCGGAGAATTTTCTTTGCAAGGACATATCCATTCATGTGAGGCCCAAATACTCCAGAATGCACTTCGTTCGTGACCTTTTCAGCTTCTCGGGTGTCTACACACCTCAAAAGATTCAGATCTGGAGTTCTTTTGTACAAGACCTCTCCGCTAAAAAAGAAACTACTGGCAAGCCTTC